TCAGACTGGCCTTGGGCATGCTGGAGGCAAGAAGGGCTCAGGCTGGCTGCCCTGCATGAGGGAATGACAAAGGGGCTGATCCGTGGGATGTCCTATTTTCTCTTTGGGTAAAGATGGTTACCCTACTTCTATCCTGTCTAAATTCTTCCTACAAGTTCCATGAAAGAGGGGTAGATGAGCCAATAGACTTGCCAGGCTCCTAGGGAAGGCGAGGGGGTGGTTCCATGCTCCTGGAAAGGGCGGGCCCTCAGGCAAAAGAGTTAGAGCCATGGCAGCCAGCCCTCTGCACCACACAGACCACACCCCTCTCAGAACTGTCTGGGATGTGCTGTCTGGAGCTCTGCAGTGTGCTGTTCAGGGCAGCGGTGGCCAGAACTCTGGGCCTCTTTGAATCACTGAGCCCTGGGGCAGTTGCCATCTTTGCCCCTCCCTTTCGGGGGTCCTGAAGAGGGGATTTGTTTCTTCACTTTCTGCTATCAACTGTTCTGTAGGGTTGCTATTTGATGCAGCCTTCAGTTCTGGGATTCCTTTTGAGTGTCGACAAGGATGGGAACTAAGGGTCAGATTTGCCTTCGCCTGCCACTTGGTGTCAGACAGCACTATTCCAATATGATAAGAGTTTACACCCACTTTGCACTCATATAAAAGTCTACTAACAGGGCAGGACAGTGACAAATTGAGCCCAATAACTGTTTTCACCTTCCCCAGAAGCATTTTATTTTCTCTCTCCTGCCTTCCCCAGAAACAACCTCTGTTTTCTCCACTGGAATGTAACTGGACCTTTCTCGAACAGAAGACTACAATTTGCACTTCCCTGCAATAGTGGAAGCAGATCCAACTTTACGAATCACTAATATTCTTGAATGCTTATTTCCATCTGCTGCCCCTTTCCATGTTCCATCTCTATCTAGCCAGAGAATTTTTCCCAACATCATTAGACTCCTGCCACAGCCCATGATGGATATCACGGATGATGTCTAATGGAATACGTTCACATACATTCATGGATGTGAGAGCAATAGTTCTCAATCTTGTCCGTGTCATTGACTTGTTTTTAATAAATCAGATTGCGTAGCTAATTTCAAGTGTATTTCGAAAGAGCTTATTTTGAAATTTGGCGCTGTCTACACAGCACTAAAATTCAAAATAGAACGCTATTCCGAAACATCCCTTAGTCCTCATGGAATGTCATAATAGTGAATCAGCTGACCCTAGTCTCCACTGCCCCTTTGAAACACATGGAAGTGGCATTTCTAAGGGGCAGCCGCCACACAGCTGATCCCCGGCACATCTATGAGGTGGCTGCTCCTTTGAAACACCACGTCTGCACATTTCAAAGAGGCATTGGAGCCTGGGGTCAACTGGGGACTCCCCAGCTGATCCCGGGCTCCGCATTGGGCTACCCCTTTGAAGCACTACAGTGGCACTTCAAAGGGCAGCACAGAATTAACACCTGCGATTAACGCATTAAAAAATTTAATGCATTAATCCTGGACTGTGTTAATCACAGGCATTAATGTATGTCAATTGACAGCCCTAGTACTTTCTCAACATTTCATTATCCACGTGGAAAAGTACAGAAAGTGGTTTTCTACATAAATTATTCTTATTTCCAAGTCATCACCCTTGTTTGTATTCCATGCTTAAATAGTCATTGTTCATTTATGCACTGCTGACATAGAAAGTTCTTGAAAAGTGTACCTGTTTGGAGTGCTGGGATTTACTGAGTCACTTCATGAAAAGACTTTGCAATTCCTTTTTGAGCCTTTTGCCCATCGGAAGCCATGATCAGTCCAATCTGAACTTGAACCCCTTCTCCTAAGCTATCTGGGTTAAATGCCATGCTGTAGCTGGAAGCTAAGTCTCCCTCAGACAGAGATTCTTGCAATGGATTAGTTATCTTCTTGCATTAATAGATAGGGAAACTGTTCTTAGCATTCTAAAGGCCCCGTTCTGCAATACTCACTCGCACAGGTAGCTCATTTTTTTCCAGGATCTTCAAAGAGTGACAAGTGGCCACAGCACCTGTCCTCACTGGTAATATTTGCATAAATAAAACAAGACTCTCTGCATGCAGCAGCATGACCACCTCAAAGTTCACAGCTTCTTGCATCCCTTGAAGTTTAAATGTTCTTTCATTCCACAGGGGGAAACAAAGTAAAACACCATTCCAGTCCTACACATGGCCAAATTGAGAAACTGCAAATATGATGCTCAAAAACCCCATAGTTTTTCTTGTTTTGTCACTTTTGACTAGGCGGTAGGAGGTTTTTTTAGGGAGAGGGGGTTGTTTATTGTTATATATGACACATTATGGCTTCTATCTGCACTTAAGAAATCTCCCTGGCAAACCATGCAAGGGAAGCCATCTGTCCAATTCTGGCTACCCTGGAAATCCATGAACATGTGGGAGGAGACTAAGGGATTATTGTGAGGTTTTTCTCAAGGATTTCCACTTGAACCACACCCCTTAATGGGAAGGGTTTGGTGGGGTTTCGGCCATACCCTCACCTCACCCTGCAGATCCTGGGAATTTGCAGAGAAGGGATCCCCATTCAGAGCTGAGACAGAAGCTATCTTGCAGGAATCATGCTCCCCTGATTCATCCTCACCAAGTAGCACAGCCTCTGAAAAAACCTCTCTCAGGCTATGTCTAGACTGCAGGCTTCTTTCAGAAGAAGCTTTTTCGGAAGAGATCTTCTGAAAAAACTTCTTCCAAAAGAGAGCACCCACACTATCAAAGCGCATCGAAAAAGCAATCTTCTTTTTCGAAAGATAGCGTCCATACTGAATGGACACTATCTCTCATGTAAGCTGTGATTACTATGGATGGAGTGACCACCAGGACACCTGTGCTTTTTCCTCTTACCTCTTCTTCCAAAAGAACTCCTTCTTCCCCGTTCACACACACTTTTACCGAAACAGCTCTTTCGAAAAAAGGTTTCTTCCTCATAGAAAGAAGTTTACCAATGTCGGAAAAATCCCTCTGTTCTTTCGTTTTTTTCCCGAAAGAATGCGATTGCAGTGTGGATGTAAGTGACGTTTTTTCAGAAAAGCAACAGTTTTTTTGAAAAAACTCTGCAATGTAGACATACTCTCAGATAGGACCCCTGTAGCGGCTCAGCATAAGCCACTTATGAAATCTAAAGGAAAGTACTTATAATATAATCCTGAATTGCATTACTTACCACCCAGATTGCTTTAGAGGACAGAGATTTCTACATGGCAAACAGTGGTACCTCTCCATGCTACCCACTATTCTATGGAGCTCCTGCAAAGGAGCATCTACATAAAGCAAGGGATGAGTGGGTGAGAAACAGGTGGGAAAACAACACTCTGGAAGCAGAATCCCCACCATGCACATAAAACAGATGTTCTTATGGCATCATGGGGGATGATCATTTAGAAAGATCAGAATTAAAGTCATTAGGCATAATTCAATTATGCTACACTATTGACTGTCACCAGCCATAGCATTAGATGGATAAATAAAGAACCACATTTCTTTGCAAAGTCTGAAAAATGGATTGCAAAATAAATACTACATTGCTATTTTTTCATTTCCAGCAGAAAAGAAATCTCAGCTACTACTTCCATAAGTGGTGGCACAAAAATGGATTAAAAGAATCTTAAACACAGGAATAGCTCACTGGATTTAACACCTAGGAAACAGACAAGGAAGTACAGATTAAGGCATCATTTGTCATATCCAGAGGATGATTCAGTTAATAATTTTATATATTTAGAGGCATGTTCAGTGTCATATGATGCTAGATGAGGCAATTTGCCTGATTCAACACTGGATCTATTAGAACCAAGTGTGACATAAGAGTCTGTAATATATGTGTATGCTGTATATTAATTGGCTGGAGGATTTTTTATTTTTGGGGTGTTCATTTGCTCAAGAAGTAGTTAATAGGTAATCCCTGCTTTCCCCCCACATCTCCCATTACTGGGCTAAGCATGAAATCAGAAATAGCTTGGAACCACAGTTTTGTAGCTCAGTGCTGTCCTAGGAACCCTTCCCTCTTCTCATATAGACAAATTATGTTGCATTTGGCTATTCCGTGTGCGGATGTTTCTGCTGAGAACTTGAAAATTGTTGTTCATTTTCTGCAGCCTTTCAG